AAGAGCAGGGGGTGGAGGTGGTGCAACCATGGGACAAGGTGAAAGGTACAGGAGGTATAGACAGACAAGAGAGAACAGAGAGGAGGATAATTTCACTCTGCCTAGAGAGGCGTAGTATCTTGAAAAAGGAGCTCTTTCATCCTCAAAAGGAGTGACTGAAAGGGGGGGGGGGCTGGGGTGAAACCAAGAAAAATCAAGACGGACTGAATGAAGTGAGTGAGGTGCTGTATAGGCAGGGGCAGGGCATTTAGGTGTCTTCTGTAATTCGCGTCAACCTGGGGGAAGAAGGGAGATTCCTTGCTATTTCCACGGGGAGGAGTCTGGCCCGTGAGCAGCAGGTCCCAGCTCCACCCAGGAACGATGTACCCACTGAGGAAGGGCTCCTAAGTGTCTGCTGTCAGGGCTGCTAGAGATGACCAAGAAGGGTCCTGTCTACTTAGGCTGTAGGGTTCAGGAGTTTAAATCTTTAATTAGGAAAATATGTTAGGCTATCCTGATATGTCTGAGTGTTACAAGAAGGCAGGAGGAGGCTAGTGGTGTTCATGGCTTTCTTCAGGCCTGCTGCAGAGGTGGGAGGTAGTCTCCAAAGTGGCTGACCTCCAGGCTGAGGTTTGGCCTGACAGAAATGCTTGGCCACATAAAAGCTCAAATGCACTGTGTCTCATAGATTCCCAGAGGTCGCTCAGAGGCAAAGGAAAACAATTGAGAACAAGGAAACCCAGGCTTTATGGAGGTGGAGCTGGAGTTTACTGAAGGGGGCCTGGAGGAGGCCATTAGCTCTACTTTTCTGGGTGATTGAGGCTGCTAGGGACTGTGGAGGTTTTATTGGACAACAAGTGACTTGGAGACCTCCTATGTCACTGGAAAGCTGGGCTATTGACTGATTCAATAGAAGTGAGAAGCCACACCTGATAATGTCAGCTAGGAGGAAGCTGATAGTGCTTGAGGCCTCCTCTGAGTCAGTGAAAAAGGTCTTTATCCATCCTGTAAAGGTAATGTCATGGACCAGGAGATATCTTTTGCACCCTTGGAATGTGGGTGAAATCAGTTTGCCAGTCATGAGTTGGGAAAAAACCTTGCTCTTAATGTGTGTGTAAAAGAGGGTTAGAGTCAGGAGGTAGCTCTGATCAGCAGGAGGCTCTTGAGGAGGAAAGAAGCAGCTGTTGGCCATGGCAAGAGGTTCAGCACGGGGATCCCTGGGGGTCAGTGGAATCCTTCATCAGGGAGAATTCAGCATCAGGTTGAGGTAATACAGGCAGGAGGAAAAGAAGGAGGATTTGGGAGGAGTCAAGGAGGAGCACAGGGTGGAAGTGATACAGGGAGGAAAAACTGGTCTCGAGTGGGTGACCTCCAAACAATATAGGGAACCTCCAAATGACACAGGGAAAAACGATCTCTGGACCTGACCTGCACAAGTTCGTGTTCTCTAAAACCGAAGAATGAATTTTAGGAACAAACGGAGGTTATGAGCAGAATATATTTATTGAGAGAAAGAAAGCTCCTGTCCAAGAGAGGGACAGGAGGGGGGCCCGAGCAGGTAGTTCCCCAGGAAACTGTCTCTTCCAGGGATTTTTATAGTGTAAAACCATGCGGGGCTAAGGTAGAGAGAATGGGAACTTGCTTAGGTGGGCAGGAGGTGGGACAAAACTATGGTCAACCAGTGGGATTACAAGCACCATTGCTCAGGTAAAACTGATTAAATCCAGTATCAAATGGGAAAGCGAGTCACATAGCAAGTAGGCATGAATATGGAACAGGGTCTCTTCCTGTTAGGGGGTGGGCTAGTGACTCATTTGGGCTCTTTCAAGTTGACTGATACTATTTAGAATATCAATCCCTAATGCCCATCCCTAGGGAAGTATGTAGCTGTGCTTCCTCTTTTTGTCTTGGTCTTCAGCTGTGGCCCACATGGGAGTGTCTCTCTTCCAAGTTGTAAAGTCACCTTGTCTTCCATCTTGTCTCCTTGAGGGCCTGACCCTGTCTGACTGCCTATAATATTTCTGTCTAACTCGGCTGCCTGCAACGGAAGGTTATGGAGCATGAAGAATACCTGGACGTAGGGCACCTCAGAAGATCAGGAGAGGGGCAGGGATGTTTTAGGTTTTTGAGGAGATGGGCTAGGGGCAAGGATAGTGTTATGGTTTGTATCTAGGTGTCTCCCCAAAGCTTCATGCAGTCATTGGTTTAGCTTCTTGAGTTTGTGATTAACTCATGAGCCAGTGATAGAATTACAGGTGAAAGTGGTGCTGGGATTATGGGTGTGTGTGCTATACTGCCCTGGGGCAGATAATCTGCATTACAATGTAAGGAGGGGGAGAATGGCTTGCAGAAAGCAACAGCCTCTGCTCCTCCCTTTGCTCTTTGCTGTTTTCCCCAGCTATAAACTGTTGCCCTCTGTCATGTGCCACTCTGACTTGGAGCCTGCTGAGTATGGACTGAAACCCCCACTAACTGTGAGCTAAATAAAACTTTTCTTCCTTAATTTTGGGTGTCAGGTATTTTATTCCAGCAATGAGAGAAGGGTAAGATGGATGGAGAAATAGAAGAAGGAAGGTTTCCCATGGAAGCAGAGAGAAGTATTTGTCATGGCTGGTTGTCAAAATGAGAGTGGCAGTAAGGTTCACAACAGATATCTCCAGTTGGGACTCAGGGCAATGACAGAGGGTGGATGAGTGGCCAAGACAGGTGTCCCCACAGTTAGCAAATACCAGATACACAGTTCTTCCCAGAGGGTGTTTCTGTGACCAGTGCTGGGTTTAAATGGCATGGAAAGGGGATGAATCTCTCTGTCCCAGTTGACAGAAGGGTGGAAAGGCAGGAGAGGGGCAGGGGAAAAGTGTGAGACATGGGAGGAAGACATGAGTCCCTGAATGTTATGGGGCCAGCAGAAGGCGAGTGCAGCATGTCTAGTGATTTTGAATGTTTCTATGAGTAACAGAACCTCTTTTAAGGTCTGAAAAAACAAGTGAGTAAAGGTCTAATTGTTGTAGGCAGTCAAGTTAGATAGAAATATTATAGGCAGTTAGACAGGGTCAGGCTCTCAAGGAAACAAGATGGAAGACAAGGTGACTTTGCAACTTGGAAGAGACAGACACTCCCATATGGGCCACACCTCAAGACCAAGACAAAAAGAGGAAGCACAGCTACATACTTTCCTAGGGATGGGCATTAGGGATTGATATCCTAAATAGTATCAATCAACTTGAAAGAGCCCAAATGAGTCACTAGCCCAACCCCCAACAGGAAGAGACCCTGTTCCTATTGTACCCATTTGCTACGTGACTCGCTTTCCCATTTGATACTGGATTTAATCAATTTTACCTGAGCAATGGTGCTTGTAATCTCATTGGTTGACCATAGTTTTGTCCCACCTCATGCCCAACTGAGAAAATTCCCATGTCTTCTCCACCACCTTAGACCCGCCTCACCACATGGTTTTCCTCTATAAAAGTCCCTGCAAGAGACAATTCCCGGGGGGAGTTACCTGCTCGCCCCCTCCCCTCCTGTCCGTCTCTCGGGACAGGAGCTTTCCTTCTTTCAATAAATATATTCTGCTCATAACCTCCGTTTGTTCCTAAAATTCATTCTTTGGTTTTAGAGAACATGAACTTGTGCAGGTCAGGTCCAGAGATCGTTTTTTCTCTATGTCATTTGGAGGTCACCTACCTGAGACCAGTTTTTCTCCCTGTATCATATTGATCTAAGTGCTTGATGGGCTCTCCTTTTAGTTTGTAAAGGGGATTAGTGAGGAAAGCAAAGCCAGAAACCCAAAGGCAGAAGTATCCTACTACATGGAGAAAGGAGGGCAGTTGTGTGGTGGTGGGGATCAGGCACCAAGGGATGTGTGGGAAGGAGAATCTGTTTGATAGTGTGGAGATCTTATACCAGCAAGAGCTGTCTGCCTTTTGTACCAGGAAAATGGTGGGGAGGAAGCTAGTTTGGAGAGCAGCATCAGCAGGAAGGGAAGGTAGAACAAAGGCTCCAAAGGGGAGGAGAAGGGGGTTTGATGCCTGGAGGAAGTTGGGAGCAGAGAGACTCCAGGCACATTTCTCAGGACAAGAGGTGCAAATGGCCATGGGTTTGTTATCTTCTGTGGCTTCCTGCTGTGCCTGCCAGTCATGGCCTCACCCCCTGGGTATGACAGTAGCCAAGCAGGCTAAGAAAAGAATGTACATAAAACATTAGTCAGATAGTCACATTTTTGGTTTAGAGTATAGTCCTTCTAGTAAGATTGTAGAAAGAACTGAAAAATGATGGCAAAAAATAATTCTTTAAAACTCAAAGGATACCTAAGTAGGCTTTGGTTGCTTAAGCAAATTTTTGAATACATATGGCTTAAATTCTCAGCCTAAAAAAGTGTATCAGGATAACTTTAACCTTATGTAATTACTTGTGCAATTGTACAGGAGGAGGGGACCATATGCAGAAATAACTCTGTTCAATCCCTTTTGTGTAACAGGAGAGTCAGAAAGGCTAATGAACTGGTCTGGTTCCAGTTTCATGATCTTGGCTGGAAAGACAACTCACATTATCTTTGCAGTTATCTTGAGTTTCCACATAATAATCACACTGACCCTCTGCTTGGACCACAGACCAGTTGCGATTGTTGGATGGACGTGGCAGTAACATAATGGCTGCATCAGACTGGTCCAAGAAAGGGAGTTTGTTGGCTCACATCAGAAAGTGGTCCATTCATAGCTCTCTCTTTAGGGACCTTGGGACTGAAAACTAATTCATTTTCTGTTGCTATAAGTGAATGCCTGAGACTAGTAATTTATACTGAAAAGGAATTTATGTCTTCCAGTTTTGAACCGGGGTAGTGCAGAAACACGGCACCAGCACCTGGGGACCAGCCAAGGCCATCTTGGAACCACCAACATGGCCCTAGGCTGATTAGCCAGGCCTAAGTCTATGCCACCTGGAAAACTTAGCCAGAAAGTAGAATTAGAATATGTTTACCAGAAAATGAAGAAATAGATGGTACTTCTCGAAACAAAAATGTTCCCAACAGGCCTAAGGGAGAAGTTTTCCTTCTACGTCTTCTCTTAGTCAACCCATCCCTACCCTGCTTCTTTACCTATAAATTTGCTTGGTGTCTACATCCAGTAACTTTTTCCCCTTCATTTAAAAACTTTAGAAGCTAACTAATGAACAAAAACTAATGGAATTTTTCTTACTAGTGATTGCATAAACTTCGAACTTATAAACTCTTTTCTTCATCTTTCTGCAGTTTGGGTTGGGATTATCTATCCTGCGTCTATTCCACCATTGTGTTTTATAGACAGATAACTTGTCTTGTTTCATAGGTTTACAAAGAGAATGAATTTTTAATTTTTTTATTGTTTAAATTCAGACAAGAGAGCCGGCCAAATAGCTCAGTGAATTAAAGGGCCTGCAAGCCAGGGGTTCAATTCCTGGCCCTGCCCTCGGGGCCCTCTGAGACAGCAATTGAGACTGGGTGTGGTGGCGCATGTCTGCAATCCCAGCTCTTGGGAGGCTGTAAACAGGTGGATCACTATGAGTCTGATCTAGTAGTGAGACCCTGAACACCCTGTAGACCCTTCCCTAAAATACAAAAAATATATAAATAAATAAAAATAATTTCACACAAGAGTTTTGCCGTGTAACCCAGGCTGGCCTCAAGTTCACAGCAGTCCTTCTGCCTCAGCCTCCCAAGTGCTGAGATTACAGGTACAGTATGCCAGGCAGCAGGAGAGAAATCTCCCCAGCATAATCAGATGATAGGGCTGGTGAGATGGCTCAGTGGTCTAAAGCACCTACTTAGAACAAGCTTAGCAAAGCACAGGGACCGCGGTTCAATCCCCCAGCACCACATGCCAGCTGGCCCCGCCCCCTGGTGGGCTGAGCTGGCCACACATTAAATAAGTAAATAAATAAATAAATAAATATTAAAAAAATAAATAAATAAATGTTAAAAAATCAGATGATAGGCCTATGCTGTAACTGATTTGGAGTTAAGACTTGTGGATTGAACTATGTCTCCAAAAAGTTCTGTTGAAGGCCTGACTCTTAGTACCTGTGACCATGGTCTTGTTTGGAGAAGTGTCGTCCTTATGGATGTGCCAGGTGGCCACGGGGCCTCCTGTGTTGGGGCAGGCACTCACACAATGTATCATGCCTCGTAAGAGGAGGAAAGTGTGGACCCAGGCAGGCAGTGCAAGAAGACAATGGAGGCAGAGATTGAGTGATGCTGCCGTAGCTGAGGAGCACATGGCTACCTGAAGCCGGAGGCAGCAAGAAAGGACCCTCGTCAGAAGCCCCGAAGGGAGGAGGCCAGAGGCCCCAACACACTGAGCTTGAGCTTCCGCCCTCTCCGAGGGCCAGGGAGTGCACTGCTGTCATTTTAAGCTGCATGGCTAGTAATTCTTGGTTATGGCAGTCCTAGGAAGCAAATGTACATTTTCAAAGCTGACCAGTGGCTCTTCAACTGGATTAAAGAGCAATGCAAATGAAGATAAATGAAGAGATGTTTTCATTTAGAAAATGAATGAAGTACTTGGAGCCTTCTGAAGGTGTCACTGTTGCCCACTTTTATTAGTCACTAAATGGAATAGACAGTTCCCTGCTTTGGCTTTATTTTTTTGATTTTTTATTTAGTTTTATTTTTGTAGCACTGGGGCTGGGACCAAGGGCCTTGTACAGCTAACCAAGGTCCGGCCATCTAGCTGTGCCCCAGCCAATTTTCCTGTTTTTCCTCCCTAATGTCCCCAGCAACACAGAAAGCAACAGGAAGCTATGACTCCTTAGAGCACAAAAGTGACACCAGAACCCCCTTCCTGCCAGACACACACATGCAAAGTGTTCCTCAGAGGCTAAGTGTGACGGAAGTATTAAATAAACCAGAATAAACAAGCAGAGAAAATCCACAAAAATAACAATAAACAGGGTAAATAATTGACAGTTCACTCTTGGAAAGATTTTAAGTTGCATAGAACCAAGTTGAGGAGATACTTCCCACTGGCACCTTTTCAGGACAATTGCTATTGGAGGAAGGAGTGCAGTTGAATTGTTCGTCATTCCCACCACGCTAGTTCTGACTGAGAGTGAGACTAGGCCAGGGGACTCCTCCATCAGGGGCTGCTAAACAGCAGGAAGCCTGTAAATGTCGTGTCATCGTCCTCATCTGCAAACAGGCCATTGAACCTCTGTCCTCCTGTCACCTGCATCCACACCTCGTCCCCCAGCTTCAATGGCAGGACTATCCCACCAGAGGCCTGGTCCTCAGAACTCATGTAACCATCCTTTGTGTGCAGTATTTTTACCCCGTTTTTGACCAAAGCGACCTGTACATTCCTGGAGAAGACAGTGATGTGGTAGGTGAAGTAATAGACACCAGCAATATGGCATGTGAACTTCCCTGTAGCAACATTGTAATGGTTGAATTCGTTGTATAAGATCTTGTCGAATTTAATGGGCACATCTGAAGGGGGGAACTTGCTCAGCACAGTCAGCCCCACAGTGAAAGCACTTTTGGGCAAAACTGGACTTTCACCAATTTTGCCTTTTTCTCCTCGATCCCCTTTCCAGCCTCTTATTCCTCGGACTCCAGGTTCACCTTGGGGTCCCATGGGTCCTGCATCTCCCTTGGGACCGGGCTTGCCAGTGGGGCCTATGGGGCCAATTAAGCCAGTGGGGCCCAAAGGTCCAGAGCTACCCATTAGACCTCGGGGACCTGTGGGACCCACATCACCTTTGTCCCCTTTCTGCCCTTGAGGACCAGTCTCTCCTTGGAGCCCTTTGTCTCCTGTGGGACCAATGGATCCTTTTGGCCCATGCTTCCCTGGGGGTCCTCTGGAGCCAGGGTCACCTTTGATGCCTTTAGCTTCCACTTTTCCATCTGCCCCTAAGTAGAGGAAGAAAATAAATAAATGGTTTGTGAATTATTCCCTCATGAACAACCCTGTGTTTCCTGTTACTGTGCATTTATTTGAGACAAACTAGTACACAGGTACATGTGCTAGGGTTTTCAAAATTCACTTACTCTGCAATTACATGCATGTGTTTTTCACACACAACTCTGTGGGACTCCTGTCCCCTGATTGTTGGGCTCACAGGAAAGAACCCAGCTCTTTACTATTACATCCCAGGTGGAACAGGATACACTCGAGGCCTCGCTGTGAGAAACGCTCTTCCAAGCAGGAAGGACTCCACTGGGAAAGTGGCAGAGGCCACTGAGTGAAGGGGCACTTGGGCCTAGGGCAGCCCCTCAACAGCTCCTCACTGAAGTGAGCCACAGAGTGGTATTCTCCTCGCTCTCAGGACCAGCCACAGTCTGTCCATCCCACTCGATATGTTGCTGCCCCTGCTGTTATTCTGGTAAACATGTGGCACTTCCCTGTTTTTTCTGCCTAGACATGAGAGCAATGGTTGGGGGCATAGACTGGAAGGACTCCAGCCTGTCCCATCCCATCTCCACCCCTCATGTGGTGGACATCAGGGCAGCAACCTGTCTGCCCCAGCTCTGTTCCTTATCTACAGATCCAGAATAATAATGCTACCTGGGTCATAATGGAACAGAAGATGCACCCCGAGCCAGCATGCTTCAGTTTGTTAGTTGCCCAGGTAATAATTTCAGTTACAGTTCCTATACTTTTGTTTCTTAGAAACACCTGGTCACTGTGATGCATAGCTGGTCAATAGGATACAGATTATAAGAACCAATTCCCAAGCAACAGTCATTTTGCCTCTGTATTCCCTACTTGCTTGTCCCATATAAGCCATAGACCAGCTGATCGGACCTGATACTATGGGAATGATCCCAATCAGTGCCTGTTAACATAAATAAATCTGCCTGCAAGCCTTGAGAGTCATTTCAGTATTTCCGCTTGCCATTGCATCTAGTGCATGGGCTGGGAAGACTGACCATGCTGACCTCTTCGGTCACTGGTTGTGGCCCTTGCAGATGGAGCAAGGACCTTTCCAGATCCTGATGGGAAGATCTACTCTCAAGATTTCTTGAGTTCACTCAGTGGTCTGGAGGAGGGTTCCTGGCTCTCCACTTGAGCAGCTCATATTAGACCCCAAAATGAGAAAGATGCAGTCTGCCTCTCTGCCTGCCTTTCTGCCTAATGCTGGTAAGACCCCATGGGGCACCCCAGGTAGTCTACCTGTCAGTCCTGCTCAGCTAGAGCAGAAGGGAATCTGATCAACTATAATTATTCAGGACCACCCTCAAGGAAAGGGGCTTGGAATGTTAGCCTCTGAGTGCCTACTGTGTGAGCAAGTGGCCTGGATGGCGTAAGCAGCAGGCTGCTCTGTCTGTGCACAAGGACTGGGAATCTCTTGCCACCTGCAGTTCTATGGCAATCAACATATGGCACAGTGAGGCTCTACATCCTCCTTAGCTAAGCCTCACTTAAGACCCAGTGATGGGCACAGCGAGGCATGCATCAGAATGCTCTCAGAGGGGTACCTATACTTTGTTGGTTGCTCCATCATTTAAGGGTTCACAAGGCACATGAGAAGTCAGAGATGGCAATTAATTAGTCAAAACCCACAGTCCTGGGCTGCAGGAAAAAGGGTTTTTCCTCAGTTATGCAGTTAAGAAATGAAACTAAACTGCTCCCTGCATCTCAAAGAAAGAAAAAGGGGGAAAAGAGCCCTGTTCTTCCTAAGAATTCCACCTTGACACCCTCCTAGGTGGGTGCAGTTGCCTCCAACACCTATAGCTTTGCTCTCTGCTCCTCTTCTACTTCCAGCCAGTTGAACTGGTTCCAACTTGCCATTGCCTGCATTCAGCCACAGAAGCCTTGGCCCTGAACCTTCTGCTTTACAGCTACCTTTATACACCTGTCCTAATCAGATGGTATCATCTAGCGCCCACCTGAGATGACTGCCAGCAGTTCTTTCTGAGTGCCACATTTGACTGAGGAAAAATTGGACTCTCAGCCCTGAGGACTGAGTTGCCATGGCCTTTCCAAAGGTCACCTTGCCTAGAAACAACCCAACTGAGTGTTTCCAAAGACATCAAAAGGAGGAGGGGAAGCCCATCAACCTCTGCTACCCAGAAACCTGATAAAAGAAAAGTATCTGATGTCCACAAGAAAATCCAGTCTGAAAGACAACCATACCCTCTGGCTATAAGTTATGAGGATTATGGGCATAAAATAAATGCCCCATCCATCTGAAAGACACAAAGAAACGTGACTATCCAGGCCCACTTGAACTTCTACTCACCCTGTTGGGCCTGAATGGATAGGACAGCCTGAGCTCTATCAAATTGGGCCCCAAGAACCCATGGTCATTCAAAAGCTAGGGGCAAACCTGTGGCTTTCCTGGGAAAAGAAACCTCTACCCTCAAAAGTTCCCTCTCTCAAAAAGTTACCATCAAAAAAAAAAAAAAAAAAAAAAAAAGTTACCATCATCAGGGCAACTGGGACTTTTGCCTCCTGGCTCTTCTGCCAGACACAAACCTGTAGCACAGCAGGACATCTCCTCAATGTGAATTCCTGTATAAATTAGTCCCCATACCACTTCAGGGAAGAGACCTCCTCTTCAAGTTAAAAAGGACCATCTTCTTTGTACCAAGTCAGTCAGCCTCCCTGTCACTTAATCCTGCAGTTTCAACTTTGACTGTTTCCTGACAGGAAAATAATGCCTGCATCAGTCTGAAACAGGTGACCGCTATCCTGAAGGTCTGGAAACTGTCCTCCCAGAAGTGCGGGCTAACGGCTTGCCTCTGGGCCTGGCCACACGTCAACCTGATAGACTGTTGATCACCTTGGGTAAGATCTCCATGCTATCAGCAAGAGAGCCATCATTTTGCGTTGTGGCTCCCAACCCATTCAATTGACACAAAAGTTTGAGAACCTTCCCACTATTTCCTGGGAGGCTCTAACAACAGATTTGGCTCCTGGGCAGTCTAATTACTCTGTCCTTTCTAACTCTGTCATGCTCCCTGCCCAGCCGAGGAAAGAAAAAATGAGGCTTTAAAATTGTAAATTGCCAGTGGAATAAGCGCTTCCCTGGCAAGCGCAAGAGCCTGAGTTCAATCCCCAGTTCTGAAAAAAAAAAAAAAATTGTAAAATGCCTATATACTTAAAACTGCTAAAATACACCTCTCCTGTCTATAAAGCCGGTTCAAGATCTCCAAGCTGTCAATTTCACAATTGCCCTCAGTATACATTGCCTCAGTCTTGTGCCACCACAGACTGCTCAGGGGCACTGAGTCCAAAACTAGCCTCCCTGCCAGGTGTCACCATTGAGTCTTGGTCAACAGAGTGTGACTCAGGAGCCCCAGCCATCCAGCTGCCTGTTTCTGTATGAGCCATAGGCTAAGAATGGTTTACATGTTCCTGTGGTCAAAAGTTAAGAATCCACGGCACGTGGAGAGTGTATGGAGTTACAATTCCAGCCTACACAGCCTCCCTGGGACACAGCCATTTTTATCCACATGACATTTACTACTGCTTTTTGGTATTGCAGGGCAATCAAGTGGCAGCAATGGGGAGTCTGCAAAGCTGAAAATATTCACTATCTGAGCCCTCACAGGACACCTTTTCTGACCCCTGAATCCACCATGACTCCCCAGAGACAAGGGCTGAGAGGACCACCACAGAGTCTTGTCAAGGACTCATCCTACCACCAGGTGTATCATAACCACTCTGAGTCCCTCAGGAGGTCAGCATCAGAGCATGGTGGGTGGAGAGCTGGCTCCTGACCTCGTTCTCCTTTCTCGCCGCTCATTCCATCTTTCCCTGGGCTCCCGGGATGGCCTGGTTCTCCTGTGGGAAAGAAGAACACAGACAAGTTGGGATTCCAGCCCCAAGGCTCCTGGCCATGAGTGTCCATAGTGCTGTGTGTTGTAGAGGTCTGGGTGACGCAGCACAGTGGGCATGTCTGGTCCCACAGCAGTATGCTGGAGAGAGGCAGGTGGGAACCAGTGTGCAAGACAAGCAAGTTCCTAAATGACTTCCCAATCATGCAGCCATGGGACCTGCCAGGAGCACAGGCCAAGAAAAAAGTGTGTGTACCAAAGACACCGGTGGTGCGACTGTGCATCCCTCCTGCACTGGGGCCTGGGAAGTGAGGCGCCGGCTGCTTTCCTTCCAGACTCTCTGTCACACTTGTGGGGATGGGGGAGAAGGCTCACTGCCCTTCTGAGAAAACAGACAGCACAGCATGGGGTGGGAGTGAGGGTTCTGGAAGAATGTTCCTGGTGCCCTAGAATGGTGGCAGATGTCATTGATCAAGCTGGCATGGGAAGCCCTGAGGGATCATCCAGTAAGAGAGGTTTTGTGGACTATTCACCAGCACTGATGCTCTCAGTAGGCCACTCTGGGCAACTGTGGCTTGAGTGTGGCAGCAGGATAGACGTGGCTCCAGCTGTGGCAGCAGGAGCACTCACAAGGCCTTGCTCCACCTGACTCTGGGTTCTTCTCCCATAGCAGCAGAGAGCCCTGTTTAGTCCCACTGACCCCACTGTGGCTGGGCCAGGTCCCAGGATTGGAGGGACAAGGTAGACACGTCCAGTCCTAGTGTCTGGCCTCCTGGACACAAGCCCTCTAGTACATGCTCCCAATCATCCCTGGTCGTCGGAGGCCTCCAGGTGAGAAGCAGCCAGCAGCAACCTCCTGCAGTGGTCCTCGCTCCCTCCTGTGCTGGCCTAGAAGCAGAAGTCTTCCTCCTTTGGCTCTTTCTGGCTTCCCTGCTTCATTTTCAGTTTATTTAGGGTCCTGGTTCCTAAATTTTGATGGTCATACAACCCAATCAGCATGGCATGAACACGGGCCCCAAACAGTGTACATTTGTGTCTGAATTATGACAGGTATATATACCATCGCAAGTTCGAGGCCAGCCTGGGATATATAGTGAACTGAAGACCAGCAAGACCCTGTCTCACACCCCCCAAAAGAAGTAATTTTATAGGTAATATGTATGAACCTCATGGAAAATATATGTAAAGCATTTATGGGAGTAGAGAGACATTTGGCATTAACAGTGAGTGTTTCTTTACTGATTTAACAATCATCTATCTCCTCTGTGTATAAAATAATGTATAACATTTTTTTTTTTTTTTTTTTTGGTGGAGCCAGGGATTGAACTCAGGCCTTTGTGCTTGCCAGGGAAGTGCTTATTCCACTGAGCCATCTCCCTGGCCCTATAATAAATTTTTTTAAAAAATCCAATCCCTACACAGTCAGAAATAAAATATACAAACATACCACTATGGTCCCAGCGGGGACTGGACTTGATTTCATTGATATTGAGGTTTTTCTATTAACTGGATGAGGTGATGGGGGAGGAGGGGGTGGGGAGCAGCGTGGGCTTCCCACAGGGCACATGTTCAAGCCGTTTGCTGGAGATCAGCAACAATGCCCCAGAAGCCCTCCACTTGTCCCGCACCGTCATTTACCAGTGGGCCACCAAATACTGAGATGTGTTATAAATACCAATTTATAGTATCTTTTAAACTGTTCACATGAGTTTTAATAAATTTTTTCCTGTATCTGGATGAATAGATTCCCCTGCACATGTCTTAGGTATATAAAACTAGGGTCGAAGCCAGGACTCAGGATTAACACTCCATTTAGAAACTGAGTCTACTGTAGCAGAAAATGCACTCCACCCCCTGAGCCAGTACACTTCAGTTGCCCAGGTAACAAGGCCTGTTACAGTTCCTACTCTGTTTCTTAGAAATAGCTGGTCACTGTGACATGCAGATGGTCAACATGATGTATACCGCAAGCACTGATCAACGACAGCTAAGTACTCTGTTTCTTGCTTGCAACCCCATAAAAACTACCCTCCATGAACCTTCAAGGCCTGACATTTTTATAATTAAGGGCTGGGGTGATAGCTCAGTGGTCTAAGCACCTGCCTGTTAAGCACAAGGACCTGAGTTTGATCCTGGGTACCATATGCTGTGCCTGTCCTAGAGTGGTGCGGACCCCAGACTGGGCATGGTGGTACATGTGTGCTGGGGGAGCTGAGACAGGAGGATCACTACAAGTCTGAGCTGCGTAACAAGACCCTGTACCAAATAAATACATAGATAAAAATTTTAAAAAAGAATTAGTTTCTTGCCAGTGCTGTGTCCAGTGTTAAATAAATCTGCCTCCAAATTCAGGTGACATTTTCAGAGCTTCTGCTTGCCATTGCTTATCAGTCATGGCTGGGTAAACTACAAGCTTTCTTGGCTTTTGAAAGCCTCTTACAAGAGGCTAGACGTGGTCTTCGGATCCCTGAACACTGGGGCAGATGCCTGGTAACATGGGTGTTATAGCTTGTGTCTAGATGTCCCCAGAGCCTCGTGCAGTCATGCGGGCAGGCTTTGCAGAGCAGCTGCATCTAGAGTTTGTGACTGATTGACAGGACCAAGGGTGCTGGGAGTAAGGGAGCGAGACAGCTGCATCAGGCTACTGCTGGGATTGGTACCTCCCCTAACCCCAGCATTCTGGTAAGACAGAAGAGACAGGAAGAAGCTTGTTTTCACCCTTGCTCTTGCTGTTTTTGCTGTCCTCTGCCACCCTGAGTGGTCACCCCTCTGCAATGTGCCACCCTGCCTTGCAGCCAGCTGATTACGCATTGAAACCTGCATAAAATCTCTGGCCAAATAGCTCAGTGGATTAAAGCACCTGTTTAGGTGGACGCAGGCAGACACAGGGGCTGGGGGTTCAATCCCCAGGCCTGCCACGCTGGCCCTGCCCCCAGGGCGCACAGAGAGGATGATTAAGACTGGGCGTGGTGGTGCACACCTGTAATCCCAGCACTTGGGAGGCTGTAAACAGGAGGATCATTTTGAGTCTCATCTATGCAGTGAGATCCTATAGACCCTGTCCTAAATATAAAAAACAAGGAAACCTCCATTAACTATGAGCTAAATAAACCTTTCCTTCTTTAATTTTGGGTGATGAGTATTTGTCACACCAATGAGAGAAAAGTAACTAAAACACTGGGTCACAGATGCCTGAGGAGCATTAGCAGCCATGTGGCTCGGGCTGTTGTCCATCTTTATCTCTGTCGCCTGCCCCACAAGGCTTCACTTCTACCTGTGCTGCCACCTTGCGCTCCTTGCCAAGCACCCCCAGCCATAGGCAGAGTTTCACTTTTCACAGATTCTGTTAGAGTCCACTGTGGTCCTGAACCATTACACGGAAAACTCCAGAGCTGAGCAACCTGTCAGCTGGTGCTGCTGGGCTGGCTTTGAACTCATGGGCCCAAGCCACCAGCCTCAGCCTCCAGAGTAGCTGGGCCAGCTGGCCTGTGCCACTGTGCCCAAGACCAGTCTGAAAACTCTCACAAGGTCCCATGCTTCCCACTCAGTCTGGCTCAGAGCACTTGTCCCTTTGTCCAGTGTCACTTGGTAACCATCTCAATTATTAGATGGAGGAGCAGAGTGTCCCAGTGCTTGTGTTCAAGTGGCTCATATTTTTCTTAATAGCCCCAAGGTGTAAGATTTGTGATTGGTAATTTTATTACAGTACAGTGTTACAATTGTTCTATTTCATTATAAGCTGTTATTATTACTCTGTTACTGTTCTAATGTGCAGATTCAGCTGTTTCCATATATGTATGTATGTAGAGGGAAAAACACTGTATATGTAGGGCTTTGTCTTTATTGGCCTCACATTGTTGAAGACCCATCACTCCTATTGCTGAGGCAACAGATCAGTGACATCCTCTGCCTCTGATGATGCCCTGTGGCAGCAAAGACAATGGCTAACAACTAGGTGTCCCCAGCAGCTGAACCCACTGAGGGTAGTGTCCTATCAGCACACTCCTCTTCCCACACCAGCCCTTCAAGAGTCTATACAAAGCAGCACTCAATAGAGGGCTGGGGGAAGGGGGCTCAGTGGGTGAGCAGAAGCCAAACAGGTGGACAGGAGTGGGCAAGGTGGAGGGAGCAAGGAGATGGGAGAAGGCAGCAGACAGCTGCCAGGTGCTAAGTACCTGTGTCTCCTTTGTCCCCTTTGACTCCATCGCGTCCGTCTCTTCCGGGCAGGCCATTGTGGCCAGGATTCCCGGGGATGCCAGAGTGTCCTTGCCTGCACATGTTTTGGGAGCTCACAGCCCCTGAGAAGATTCCCAGGGCAAGCAGCAGCCACCAGGTCCACATGGTCAGATGTCTAAATCTCACCTAAAAGAGATAGATAGAGAGAGAGAGAGAGAGAGAGAGAGAGAGAGAGAGAGAGAGAGAGAGGGAGAGAGAGAGAGGAAAAAAAAAAACAAAAAACAAAAACAAAACCAGAGGAAGAGCCTGGTTGCTGTGGTGGTGGACACAGCTCTGCCCTGAGGTGGGGGAGGGGCCCACCTGGGCCAGGTGGGCCAGGGCAGGTGCGGGCAGGAGCTGGCAGCTGAGCATGCTGCCTACCAACGCTGGGGGTTGGGTTTGTCCTCAGAGCTGACACATGGTTAGGACAACTCCTAAAGGGGAACAGCAACAAGGAAGCCAAGTTTGCAGTCAGGATAACCTCACTGATGACTTCACTTTGAGCAAACCACTTCTTAAAAAGTTCAGTTTATTAGTATATACCTGCAGTACTAATTCCTTCATTCCTTGTGCGGAGTTGGCGCCTGTATCTAACGCATCCTGTTCCTTTACTTTTAGCCTTTATTCCTTCCCTCCTTGCCACCTCCCCCATCTCTTTATCTCCTTCCCCTTTGACAACAGTCTCCCTCCCTGCTTCCAATTATCCTTCTTGTAGTTTGCTGTTTATTTTTACTGCGGGCTTCTCATACAAGAGACCCACGTGATATTTAAGCTTGCGTGTGTATTCCACCCAGCATTCTGGTCTCAAGGTACACCCATCTTCCTACAAACGGCTTAGTTTTATCTTTCTTTATGTTGGAGCCACTCTGTTGTGTGAAAACTACTTCTTTTGGGGCAGAGAAGATATAAAAGACCAGGTAAAGACAAATGTGATCCCAATGTACATGAAAAAGAACCTTATAAACAATAAAGCAAACAAAGAATTACCATCAGAGGGGTGAGCCAAATAGCTCAGCGCATTAAAGTGCCTGCAAGCAGGTGCAGGGGCCAGGGGTTCGATCCCCAGGCCTGCCATGCCCGCCCCCCCCCCCCCGGGGGGGCATGCTGAGAAGGTGATTGAGACTACATGTGGCGATTGATCACTATGAGTCAGATCTAGTAGTGAGACCCTGAACACTCTGTAGACCCTTCCCTAAAATACAGAAAAAAAAAAAAAAAAAAAAAAAAAAGAATTACCATCTGATCCAACCACTCCATGTCTGGGCACAGACCCCCAAGCCTTGAAAGCAGTGACTTGAACCTGGTACTCTGGTCCCAAGCTGCATTGCTCATAATGGCAAGAGGCAAAAGCAACCCCGTCTCCATCAGCAGATGAATGCATATGCACAAGCAAAGCACAGTGTGCACATACCTGGTCAGATGCACAGTCAAAGGAAGGCAAAGCTGGCACATGATAACGATGGGTGCACTGTGAGGACATGGGGTGTGTGGAACAAGCCAGTCCCAAAAGGACAGAGCTGTGCCATTCCTTTCCTAAGTGTACAAGGTACTAGAGCAATCACACAAACACACAAGACAGCAGCTATTGCAGGCTGGAGACACAGGCAGCTGGGAGCCCATCAATTCATGGGCCAGAGTTTCAGTGCTTGAGAAGAGGAGGAGCTCTGAGAGGGAGGTGGTGAGGGGTGCACAGTGATGGAATGTGCTACCGCCCCAGGACCGTAAGCTCCACATGGTTACATCTTACGTTATATGTATTGTACCACAATAAAAAATTAAGTTAAAAACATAATAAAGGGGGCTGGAGAGACAGCTCAGTAGAATAAGTGCTTGCCTGGAGAGTGCAAGAGCCTGAGTTCAATCCCTGGTCCCGCCC